TTATTTCACCAGTGTCCATATCAAGCATTGAAAAACACTGGTAGTTATTGTAATAAAAAAAATCTTAGTTTACACTATAACTTTGGTAGATCTTCAATTGAAATTGAAATTCTCTGTAATTTTTCTGACCCCATGATTTTTTAGACCGAGGTAGACCCAACATAAACTCACTCACTCAAATGTGAGAAATATCAAGTGTGATCTTTTTACAGCTTCCAGCAGGAGCAGAGGGTTGGAAATATAATAGATCGTGAAAATCTGGAGTGAATTATTTCCAGTTAAATCAACGTAGTTCATGAATATAATTTTCAGATTCCAAGTCTTAGAGATCATGGTTCCAACATATGCAACCTCATTTTTTTTTTCTCTAACGATAGACCCTAAAAATTTTTATTTGAATATTTAACTTCTAATTTTCACAATCTCGATATTATTGTGTGTAACCTTTCTACATTCTACATACCTTTTTTTTTCTTTTAATGTCTATTGTTCATTGTCATTTAACGGGGATTTTTCATGTCACTACATGCTGCCTTCTACTCAACACATGGAAATGCACATTGATGTACAATGTGATGTTAAATGACATATTTTTGCTTGTATTCTCTAGTCCCTGTTTTCCGTTTCTTCTTTTACTTCCACCTCCATCCACAGTCTGTAAAACCACTGCGTAGCTATTAAAGCATTTACTCAAACTCATCACGTTTAACTTTAAAATCAAATGAGCATGTTGTTCAAAATTAAAATAACCTAGAATTACCTAAAATTAAAAATTGGCATGCGGAGAAGAACACAGTGGAATTAAAATTCCCAGCAAACTAACTGAGGGAGTAGTGCTGCCCACACTAATGAGGCCTGTATGGGCAGGAAAAAAAGAGGCAGATAGACGCTGCAGGTGGGATTCACCAAGGAAACAGCGTCATCCTTTGAACCTCTCTGACTGGGATTTTTGGTGGTCGTTTAGATTCAGTCAAGCTGAGATTTTTTTAAAGGAATTGCAGGTGCATCTCTCTAAAGTCTGGAGAATCGAGGCTGCAATTAGTGTCAACTGCACTGTAAGGTTTCTTTGATCAGCTTTTCAGAGTAATTCATAGAAAGTGTTCTCTGTGTTTAAGGAGAGAGAATTTCTTAAAATAAGGGACAAACCTACTGCATGAAGAGACAGGGATTCTTTCCTTTATCTGGACATAAAGAAAATGGATGTCATTATATATCATGGGTAAACACAGGTGCACATTTTGTCATTAACTATTGTGATGGTTCCTTTCATTTCAGGACACAGTTTCTCCACATGTAAGATGTCTGAAAAGATGAATCATTGGTTCAAATTGTCTGTCTGTAGCCTCATCAAAACATATAGGAGTACATGTTTATGATGTATATTGCCATCTTGTGGATTTCACTTGCACATGCACAGACTCTAGAGAGTCATTCAAATATTTCCTTTATTTATAACCGGACGGTTGCCGGTTCAAGTCCGGAAATTGGCCTGGTAGATGGAGAGGTGCCAGTCCAATTCCTGAGCACTGCCGAGGTGCCCTTAAGCAAGGTACTAAAGACACCACCCCAAAAACCGCTCTGGAGCGCTCGCTGTGGGCAGCCCCCTCACTCTGACACCTCTCAATAAATGCATGTCCAAAGGATCTTGTGCATGTGTGTGTATTTCGGACTATGTGTTCATGTTCATTAAACAGACTGTAAAACCGAATTTCCCCTTGCAGGATTTATAAAGTATAAATTTTAATTATTATTGAAATTATTATATTATAACATACATTTCATTTGATTAAGTACAACTAAAGTCTTTTTACACTATGGATCATTTATGGTTACATGAATTCTAGCCTTTCTAAAAAGTAATCATCTGAGATATTGAAGTCTTCCTATATTCTGAAAAAAGGCAGAGGAGATACAGTACAATCACACCATGTCAAGTGAGCGAAAAAAAAATCCCCCAAAAAGTCCACAGGCTGAGAAAAATGCAAAGATATCTTTCTTTTTAATAAGACATGAGTGGTCAAAACAACTGTGAGCTTAATTAAAGAGACTCATTTTGCATTGCTCTCATCCTGGGGACTTTTTTGTGGCTTTTTAGCCCATTTAGATTGGTGTGCTGGTATCTCCCCTGCCATTTTCATCTAATACCGACACATCCAATCCAGTAACTTTTTTATGCCCTGGGTAGGCGCAGTTTAACAGCAACCTGACATAGTTCCTGTATATTCTTACATGATGCATCATTGTTGAGATTCACGGTTGGTAGTTTGGTAGGTAAGAACACATGATGGCAGTACTGAGCCTAACAGCATGGATTATGTGTAACTTTGAGGTGAGTAAGGACGTACGAAAAGTACCTTCTTTTTTTGATTCTTTTAAGAGTCATCCTGTAGGACGGTTGCAGACCGCACATAATGTGAGAACAACTGAAGGATGTCTGAGAATAATCATGATGACGTCATCATCAAGTCTGTTTTTGGACCTTGATCCATTCAAGTTACTTAAAGGAAGGGCATCTTGACCTCTACAACATCAGATATGGATTTTTTTTCAAATCCTTCCAAAGTCATCCAACACAAGGTGAGAAACCTAACACTGAATCACTTGAGCACATTTTACTCAAATGACAAAACAGACATTTATGGAATGGAATATACTCTAAGATCTGTACAGTTTTTCTCAATTGCTTTGACACATCTCGGAAAACACTTTTCAGGTTCTCTGCACTAAAGATGCATTTCTCAGGACAGCTCATGTGTAAAACACAACAGTTCAATGTATAAGTCATTGGCACCAGAAATACATGTATCAGAACGACATTGGACTCTGCATGTCCTGTCTGAGTCATTCATATCCTGTTTCCAAATAGTTCTAATTCCCAATGTTTACACTTCTGATTAAATGCTGAACAAGCCAGATATTTTTCTGAGGCTAATTACCATTTATCATATAAAAACAGCGAGTTTTCACACTAAACTTTGTAAAGCAGAAAACAACTTGATTTCAATATATTTTATGGGGATATGTGTATTGTGTTCTGTGGAAGCAACTTTACTACTCTACTTTTGAGATTAACAGTATACATGTATCAAAATTAAACAAATAGTAACAGAAATATCTTAAAAACTAACCTGAAAACATTTTTTAAATCCCTTAGGTATGGTTCATGCTTAAAATTCACTGGATCATATTACTAATATACCATGGGACATTGAGCATGTTTCCATAAGCAGATTTGGTGACGCATCATTTCAAAGGGTCCAGAATGCTGAATAAGAAAATAGAAGCAAATACGTTTTGATCGATCCCAGTGCTTGTAAAATCTCCTCTCCACATAACCGCAAACAGAAAGACACAGCATAACGGAGACACACGTACTGTATCACTTGTGTGAATAAACACACACTAGCACACACACACACACACACACACACACACACACACACACACACACACACACACACACACACACACACACACACACACACACACACACACACACACCAGATAACTGAGAATATGGTAACAAAACAAATAGTACTGATGTCATATTTACTCATATCTATTTAATGTTCTCATCACAAGTTATTAAAAAAACAGGGTTTGTTGCAAAAGGATCAAAGGAAACGTGTCTCTCCCCAAGAGTTACAGATCTGAATAAGTGATGCTTTTTTCCTCCCATGTCAGTCAACTGCAGCAAAATCGTACTTTAGGTAAGTCCAGATTCTACAGGGAAAGAAAATATGTGCTTCTTGATGACTGTTAGGTCAGAGGAGAAGATAAAGTGACCTGAAGAAAGTCTGTCTCTGGCTAAGAGGTTTTTTTATTTCGGTGTTATCATTTATGAATTTCTTGTAAAAAAAAACAAAAACAAGAAAAGAAAACGTTGCAACAATGAACACTAATTTAATCGCTGACTGACAGAGTTTGTGAGCTTTGTTTTTATCTTTTTAGGTTTCACTGGCTTGAAAATAAAATTGTTCCTTTTTAATTATCCTAAACAATGTTATTTTAAGGCATTACTGCTTCATGAGAACACAAATGACTGGAAAGCAATGAGGAACAAAGGGATGTCATGTAGCAAAGGTTTCTGAGTCTGACTCAAATTCACAACTTTGCAGTTTATGTGATGTTTGTTCCCTGGCCCTCTGAGCCACCAGAAGGTCACAGTTTTTATGACTTTTCAAAGAGTGTCACCAAGTGCGAGATGCAAATCTCTACTTCATCCTTCACGCATACGACATAAGACATGCTGTAATCCAGCATATATTTATGGGGTTATGCTGCACATAACATCTCACTAATACATGGTCAAAGCTAGGTTAGGCTAAAACCAAAATAAGGATTCTTTTTTATTTGTGGGCACACGCTATTAAGAAGATCTTCAACATCCCTTCAGTTTTCATTATTCATGTCAAATAGCCTGTCCATGGCCTTACATTAGCTCATGCAGCCAAATATACAGTAAGAGTCAATGCAGCTAACAAAAAGAAACATCACCAAATTCATCATTAATATAACAGAATTAGTAATTGGTTGGTGGAAAAAAAAACAAAGACAGTGATATATCAAACCCATTTTAAGTGGTCATGGCACACAAGAGTTAGAGTTGCCCATTAACCCCATACCTATACTAATAATAATTGACTTTGGGGACTACTTGTGTAAGACAGCACAAGGCTCCACATATTATTATTTTAAATGACTGCTGGATTAATTTATGTCTCAGGCGACTGGGGGCTGAAATAGTATCAGTGTAACATGTGTTTGTTTTGGTGAATTTATGACTGATGTTATGTTCCATTTCAATGCTAACCTCAATAGAAGGAAACTCTGAATAAGCAGGTCAACCAAAGTTAGCTAACAGGGAACCAACACTGCGGAGCATTTGGCAGCTGTCCTAGAGACATTCATGTTCTACAGTTTTTTTTTTTTCTGGCAGATGGTAAAAAAAAGCAGCAGCGCTTACACAGGAGTAAATATGTATCAGGTGACCAGTAACACAACTCCAATGTGCTTTTTATTTACACTGGGCTTTTACATGTGGTCCAATCACAAGTGGACAGTCTTAAAACATGAGCTGGCCTGGGACCCATTTGTAAACACTCGTCTGGCAGTTTGAAGACTACTGTGTCCTGGGCCATATCGAGGGCCCACCCATAATATCCAGGGGAGGAATCAGGCCTGAGATAACTGATTCATTCAACATTCTTCATTAGTTTAATACGTATATACTGTGTCATAGAAAAAAAAAATGTGTTCAATATTTTACATGTCGTTCCCTGCATATGCAAATGTACTGTAATAACAACCTTGTATATAACAAGGCAAATCAAGAAGCCCCATTCAATTCTCATAAGGGACAGTGATGATTCCTTACAATGTCAACAGGGCATTAGGTGAATTTTCATTGACTAAGTAAAAATATGGTTTCTCTGTCCTAATTTGCATATAGAGTTCGGAATTGAGTCACGTTTTATCACCAGGTGTGAAAGGCTGGATTTAACACTGGTCACCAGTAAACAGATCATCCAGAATGCATCTAACAAGTTGCTTTATGCTACAAGTTAACATGAGGAATGCAGGTGAATGTCCGGTTCCCAGCTATTTTGCTGCTCAGAAGTTACCTAACATATAAGTCTCTGCTCTATCATGTTGTTTTTGTTAGCTTACCTTGAACCAGCTTCGTTGGTACCTCAGCCGGCTGTGTGAGCATGAATGTATGTGACAACAAAGGAGGAAAGAAGTGATTCAAATCCATATTTTATGCTTATTTGTGAGTTCTAAACAGAATTGACTTTAAGTTTATAATCCAATGAACACACAGCATGTCAGAGAGAAACTATGAGTAAATAACTCTAACTGTGGTCCAGCAGACATGAACTCTGACTCAAAGAATGAGCCTTCTGTTTTTATTGCCGGACAGATCCAGTGTTTTGGAGTGATTCAGCACCGTCATAAACACTGTTCATCATAATAAATACAAGGTGTAAACATCACAAGCTGAATAAAAAAGAAAACTATGTACAATAGCATACAAACAGGTTTTAACAACAAGGTCAGGGGATAAAGATGTGTTTGCATGTGCTTTTAAAATGTTTAAATGGCATGTGCTCTTTAAAAAAAACTGTCTTTATTTTTGTGTGCATGTTTCTCTGTGTGCGTGGATGTGTGTGTGTATCGTCCAGCAGAGGGAAACATTTCACAGCACAGTGATGGTATAAAAGGCGAGGTACCAATGCCACGGAGACGAGAGCTCATTAGAGAGTGTAAAAAGATGAGGAGACGGGAGAATACAAATTGTGAATTTAAGGGAGTGTGCAAATCAAAGTCAGCAAAACTGTCACGCCACAGTGAGCGCTTATGGCAACCATACTTGTATGTACATTTTAATAAATAAATCTATTGATAAAATGTGGGAAAAAAATAATAATCCCAATAATTACACAACTCAGACGGCCTTTAGCAAATCTTCCTAAGATTCTGAGAGAAGATCCAGTTCATGGTTTTTAATATCTAAATTTGAAAAAAATATCAAAACAAAACAAATAAATAGCCTGTTGGCATCACAGAAATGATTTGCATGACAGCTTCTCATCTCAAAAGAATACAAAAAAAAACAACAAATATTTGCGATGCAGGTGATGATTTGGCTCACTGTTGTGCCACCTGCAGTTTGGAGCTTGGCTTTGTCTTATCAAATCTGTTTGTATTTCACATCAGTTGGCAAGGCTACAACCACCTGAAAGAGAAAAAAAAAAAGAAGAAGAAGAAAGCAAATTGAAGATGTCAGTACTTTTATCCTGTTTGCTTTTGTCTGGTGTGTCCGCCGAGAGATCTGAGATGAATTCTTTGATCCGAGTAAACTTCATGTGGAGCTGACTCGGGAACTGCCACTCAGATTCCAGGGTCTGTGTGTGTGTGTGTGTGCTGTGTAGTGTGTGAGGATGTGGCTATGGCTACAGTCACTTTCAGGGACAGAAATAAAAACTTATGAACAGGTTTATTGGGGATTGCATCTGAACAAATGGGGACAATGGTTGTGTCAGCAGTTGGCAAGCTAACTTTTGGGGTCATTAAATTAAGGGTCAGGTTGAGGGGCTGCTTAGTTTAAGAATAGGATTAGGGTTAGGTTATGACCAGAAAAAGTTATGGTTTGGGTAAAGAAAGTCCCCAGGTTATAAATGTAAGACTAAGAAAATACTCCAGATGTGTATAAACATGTTCGTGTGTTTGTGCATATGGCTTTGCTAAAAGGAGGTTTCTACAGATAAATCTCGGCAGTACAGGGATCCTCAAACTGGTCTTTTTTTGGTCCATCCTGGCACACTCCTGATATCAAAGCTGTGCGCTTGGAGTTCATTGTCATTTTTTAGTTTTCCACACTTGCCTTCTTCAGAAAAAAGAAAACTTAATTCCATCGTTGTAAAAAAAACAAAACAAAGTAGGACATTCTCAGTGGTCATTGTTCCCATGATTGAGTTTATACCAAAAAACGGAACAGCAAAGTCTTTAGTTATAATTTACAAAAACCAAAAGATATAGATGTACCTGACTCTGTACCAAATGCTCAGCTCTTTGCTGAGTGTCTCGGAAACAGAAAGTCTTTGAAGAGTTTGCCTATCGGTTCCCCGGGGGTTTAGAGGGCAACAGGGAGGGGTGTGTTTGTTTATTAGGGGAAGTCTAGACCTGCGTGGAATAGGAGCGATGCAGAGTTGCGTACCGCCCGGCCGGATGGGCCGCACAGTGAGGCGAGTGCTGCTCCGGCTGGTCTAAACTTCGCTGGAAATTGAGCGAGACGGTATGATGACATCGGGGGTGGTGGGGAACCGATAGGGCTGATGGTCATGTGATCTCGGTGAACGAAGATCTCCGCGGAGTCTGCAGGGGAAAGAGAGGAGTGAGAAAGAGAGAGGACGGGGCAGAGAGAAGGCGAGGTAGAGAAAAAAGTGAAGAAAAGAATAATCAAGAGCAATGCACGGGGGATGAGGGTTTTGGGAAGAGAAGAAAAAACAGATGCAAAGAGCAAAAACAGAAATAAGGCTACAGATGATGGGGGTGGTGAAAAGGGGCAGTGGCAGGCAGAACAGAGATTTAAAATTGGTTAGAATGGTTGATAGGCGTTGTAAGGTGGGGCGGTGGAGGAGAGTGCAGGGTGCTGGAGGAGAGTGAGGGACAAGGGAGCAGATTTAGAGGAAAGGTGGGAGACAGAGGAAAAGAGGCAGTCAGGTGAGGGTTAGTGACAGTGACAGACCACAGAGGACACAGACAATATTTACTTGGATGAGGACTAGTACTACACTGCTGCACCCCTTAGACAATATCTACATGTTACATTATTCATTTCTCATAGCCTCGGCTAAGTCATATAGCTTCCCTCCAATCGGCCAATTGCATTATATTAATTCTGAATGGTACATCACATCCAAAGTGTGTCAGCCAAACTGCTGGCTCACCTCTTCTGGTAATACACTGATAAGTGCCTTGAGGTACCCCGAGTTTGAAGGTTGACTGCCATGATGCATGTTATGTTTAGCAATATGCATTAGCAGGAAAAAATGACTATTCATGCAAGACAAAAACACCATGGACACCGCCCTTAATAATTGATTCAACTTGTGAATAAGAAAAAAAGAGATTCCAGTCGCTTCAGGTAAGATTGAAAGAAACCTGTGTGACATCCGATATTGTGTCTTTGTTCTGCTTTTCAGATTTGCAATTTAAGTAATCTAAGTTCTGATTTTAAAAAAGTCTGTGGAGTTACCCCACCCGAACCCAAGTATGGTTACCCCAGTAACATGTTTCCTTTTCCACCACTGTCTCAAAAAGATAATAAACTCCTTAAAACACCCCCAAAAAAGAAAGAAACACTAAAGCCTAGGCATACAGTATAGCCCCTCTTTCCAAAGCTAATATTGACATTCGAATGTCTCATCCAGTAGAGAGTTTAAGGGTTTATTTGGATGTTTTGGTGAGGACTGGTGGGGCAGGGGAATTTGGAGCATGCAGGTTTGAGGGTTTTCTTCTCTTTGGGAAGAATGAGGATTCAGGTAAGAGACAAGGGGTGTGTATCTCAGCCCCTCTTTTGTGAGTTCAGCCGTGCCTTACACCCACCCCCGCCCCTTACCTGAGGGCCACTTAACTTTTCGAGTGGACTCTCCACACAGGGCATTGTCACCATTGGCATGCCCAACATGGACTCCGGGCGCTGGGGTCGAAGTGGAAGAGGACTCGGCTGCAACTGCTTAAAGTTGTTGATCACACAAGTCACCTGGAGATATAGAGAAGGAAAGGAGTGCGAAGTAAGAAGAAAAGAAAGAAAGCTATGAGGAGAATTGACCCACCTGCCATATGGTGGTTAGCCACTGATAGCTTAGCAACCATAACAAGTCAGGCCTTAATTTCTGTAAATGTTTTGCCAAATGAATTGTCCAAACTGGTATCTGAAATGTTTGGAAGGTTGTGTAGGTTTAGCCTCTTTCGATCTAAAAACATGTCTGCAGGCATGTGAGCGGAAAGCTTTATCAGAAGGTGTGGCCGGGCAATATTAGCACAATGATTTGTAGTTTAAACTATTTGGTGTAAAAAATACATTTAAAAAATACCTTCTGGACTAAATAGAGTTTGGATTGACAAAGGCCCCCCCCCCCCACCACCCTCCTGCTTTTTAAGGGAAGCTCTAACCAACTGTATGGAAATGTTTTTTTATTTTTCTTTATTTGGAGGTACAGCCTTTATTCCTTATTTCTTTCTATCCTATATCATCTCACCAAAAACACTGCGATGGACCCCCCGGTGAAGAATCCCGCCAGGACATCGGCCCAGTGGTTGCGATACTCAGCCACTCTTACCACACCTACCAGCAGGGCCAGACAGAGCAGGGTAAGGCTGATGGTGGGCTTGGTCAGCCGTGTGCCTTTCGTCTTAAACACCAGAGTCACGTACATCTGCGGAGAGGAACACAAGAGGGCACGCACAGTAGGGTACAACAAACATGGGAAGCAACACAAAACACCAAAACATGTACAGTATGCATTATAGACTGAAAATCACCTCAACAAAGAAGGTGCACACTTATTATGGGTGCAAGCAGAAGACCCAGAAATGTGCCTGCAGCCTACAAAAAGTTGGACTGCTGAAACACAACTTGAAGGTCTGATGCACATGATAGTTCATAACTTTCTGTGAAGTACATGTAGGAATATTTTCAACCACTGACTCGGCCTGGATTAAAGTTAGAGGGATAATGTGTTGGGCTTGATTATTATTTGTGAGACCCCAATTTGTCCCCCATGTCGCAGGATTTTAAAATTGATGGTCAACTCCTGTGCATAGATATCAGGCTACAGAACAGGAGCTTGGTTTGCTGCTAATCTAAGATAAGATGAAAAACTTTAAGCCGAATTGCAGATTGTTTGGCTATAAGCAAAGGTAACAAGATCTTAAATTTGGGCAAGAAACTAAGTTTTCGAAAAAATCAGAATGGTGCCAACCCCCCTACACCTGTCGTGGTTGCTTGGTAACCTCACGGCTGCAAGACTCCTGGCTATTCCTGCACATATGACTAATATGAAAAAAGAGTAATTGTTGTTTTCTCTACAGGTTGATTGAAGCCAAGCAAACCTGCTGCTTTAACACTGCGTGACATCAGACAACTTCCAGCATGTTCAAACCTACCACTGTATACAGTGCGCTGTAGACACTGAGTGCTGCATCCTTGGACGGGAAGGATTTACGTGCAGACATGACAACCAGTGGGTTTCCTGTGCAGGCCCGGCGCTCTGCAATGTACTGCATGGTGGACTGGCATCCTAGTGCTGTGTAGTTTGGTCGGCAGGCAGACAGAAAGTGAGGTGTCTGGTTTCCCGTTACCACCTGGCCGGCATTGGCAAAGATGGTAGTGGTGAAAAGGCCAAAGGCATAGACACCTGGAGACACATGTAAGGGACAGTAAAATAACAGAGATAATAAAGGGAAAACACAGTTAAAGACATATCAGAATAAGAAGAAAAAGTATTTTTATTTCTAACAGAGAGCAATATTAAAAACTATAAAAGCACAATGAGATTTAACAGGTGATGGTTTCTTTTAGGTGATATAGTTTTTACATCCTAGAAAAGGTCCAACACATAATTATCAGCCAAAGTGTAAAGTTGCAAGAAAGGCCTGTTTCTCAGCTGATTCAGCTCAACATGCAGAATGATCAACTACTAAATATTCACAAGTGACTTCCTGCCGGATCCTGAATATCTTGCCACATAGCTTATATCTCACTTTTATCATCCAATTAACAGCCACATGTAACAGCTCTGCTTAACAAACCTCTGAAGTGAAGCGGGAATAGTTCATTTCAACCGCCTCCTTTGTGTTATTTTACTGGTTGTTATTCTGTCTCCCTCACTGCCTGACAAAAAATTCCCTTTCACAGGCCTGTGAAGAGTGGCTGTGTAATACAAAACAGCATACTCACCTAGGAAGCGTATTATGCGTCTCAGTAGGGGGTTGAAGTAGCAGCAGTCTGCAGTGACGATGGTCTTTTCCTGGGTTCCCTCTGCCTTGAAGAAGAACGCACACAGCTCTCCCACAAGAATCTGTGACCCAGAAAACACAGAACATGATGTTTAGTTAAAAACATTCTTTAAGTATGTATATTTTGAAACATCTGTTACTCTATATAACTACTACCATTAGTATTTTGGTTTCTCCCACTAACCACTGTAAGCATCACTTGTATGTATAGATAAAAGATCAGAGTCAGACACAACACTGCTAATAAAATGCTGGATAATCACAACAATTTGCACACGTATAAATGAACAGCAGTCACAAAAGGTAAAATTAGTTGATATGTAAATCAAAGGTTACATTAGCTCATGCTTAACAAGTGTCCTTCCAACATTTTTTGTCTAATTTTTGGAAGAAAAGCCAACCAGAAACCAGGAAATGAAGCTGTGTTTCTACAGGAGTACTTGTTGCTTTTTTCTTCTTGTAATTCAAATAAAATGTATTGAAAATACATCACAAATCCATTCAAGTTTTCAAAAGATGATAAAAGTACAGCACATGTAGGAATAAATAGGTTTCACTTAGATTAATGTAGAACAATTATCCAATTCTCTCCAAGTCAACATAGAGCAGTTGTTCCCAACTGTTTTTTGGTTTGTGACCCGACTTGTGACTTCACAAACACCAGGCAACCCTAGAAATCCAAAACACATATTTGTTTTCAATCATGTAATACTTTTTCAACTGTGTTGCAAGTAAACATTAATTTGAGACCACATTTAGGCTTTTTCGTGTATATTAATGTGGACAGAGGAAAAAAGGCTGGGATGAGATTTCTACTTAATGGATGACAGACAGAGAATCCGCATGTTTCATCTTTTGACATTTGCAATGACCCACAGCCTGTGTTCAATATATTTGAATAAACAATATATATTTTTACTGATCATTAAATACAAATTTCATTACCCCATTTGAATTCCATGGGACAACACACAAGGTTAGGACCCAAAGGTTGGGAAAGCCTGACATAGGGAATGATTTGAACATGATGATAAAAAACAGTGAAGCTCATCCGTGCAACAACTGATTATGAACCATTATTACATTTTTAGTTAGGTGTGCCCTTCTACTGGCCATACTAGTTACTACAGGAGAAAGGGTGGATTCAGGTGACAGAGTATAAAGACAGGTGAAGTGTATTTAGAGTGGCTTATAATAAAACAAATAGTCACCTTCTGTTGAGGTATGGACTATAGAACAATACTGTAACTGAAAACCACTTTGTGAGTTTTCATGAAACTGTTGTTCAAAATCAACACAAAGCCTGGAGAGGCTTTAACAAGAGCAATGAAAAATATTTGTCCTGATACTGAACGTATTTGTAGGCACTGTTTACTTTACATTTTCTTCACTACATTTTTCTCCAAGCTTTCAGCTGAATTTGTTCTCCATTTCATCCACAAGCCATTTCTTTGTTGTTCAAAAACTAACAGCAAAACCAACATAAACATGCACACAATACTATGTGCACTGTATACATTTTCAACTGAACAAGAATACAACCATTGGAGTAACACTTGTTAAGGATGATACAGTCTAACACATTGACACACTTGTTGAGGATAAAATGGATTCATGACTGACCATAACTAAATATTTCTGAGCTTGAGCTGAGAACAGATCTCATCAGACACCTTAATCACTGTGCTCTGTTGAGCATGGACTCTCTGGCCAGGGTAAGTCAGAAAGGTAAACTTGCTATAATCTCGATGTTTCTGTGATCAACAGAAGCAGCTTTTGTTGCAAAGTGTGTGATTTTATTGTTCTTTTTTTCGTTCAGGCGTGTCAGGCTTGTGGCGAGGTTTTGTTCACTTGATTGAGCTCACTGCACTCCCTGCGGGTCTGAACAGTGGTGCCTTTGCACACTGATGATCCCTTAATGTACTGCAGCACTGAGACACATCTGAGTGAGAGCCTACAGCACTCAAAGACACTGGCACCGACTAACATCTGGCTCCTTTACTGAATAACTATCTATGACAGAGCTAGGCTTAATCTCAAATCATCCTGACAGTTGCCATGCTCTGCTGTGACAGTAGCAGGACTCACTTTAATGCTAACTGTGTCATTTATCCAAAACTGTCCTGAGCGCTTCAGTCTGGGAAGAAAAAGCAAGTGGAGATAAGAGATCTGCCGAGGGTAGTCAGAGAGGAAGAGAAAGACAGCGAGAGAGAAATAGTGATAAAAAATGATCATGTTTCAGGTAGTCTCGTGCTTCTGGGCAGCTGCGAGCAGGTCCATGAGTTAATAGCATGCAGAGTCCTATCAGAGCAGCAGTGCTGTGAAGTCATGCCCAGCCAAGTGCTTTCTGAAACACAGCCCCTCTGTGTGCTCCATGGCAACCCTCTAAACTCTGAAATCCAAAGGTTGACGTGGTTTGATCAGTGGCTTGATTCAGAGATGTTAGGAGCAAACTTCACACAGTGGACAGTCATATGGCGCAAGTTAAAGGCAGCATGGGGGCCGTTTCCATAGGGACAGCTGGACTGCAGAGTTATAGAATGTGTATAACACACTCATAGACAAAGGCTCTAAAAATATCAGGCAAAGCTGATCAAGGCAGTGGGCCATCTAGGAAGCACTCAATGCTGTTCAATACTCATACTCAATACTGATTATGTGTAATAGTATGTTTTAGATCATCAGATATTCAGTTCCACAAACCTTTGAAAATCAACATACAGAGCCCAAACGATATTAAAGAAGTGGACATGGCCACAAGGATTTCATCCATTGTTTGTGGAATATTATTTTGGAGCCTTGAGTTGGGCTTTTGGACTGTCGCAATCTCCTTTTTTTGAGCGAGAAGAAACTTTTTTTTTTTTTTTTTTTACAATAGCAGGGATATTTGTAATCCGTTTGAACACTACTTACTTCTATTACTACTGAGCTAGCGGTTGAGACCGTATTCTTATTATAGAAAAAATTATTGAGGTAATAAAACAACTGAGACGAAGGGTTATTTTCATCTTTGCTTTACTTATCTCTAGACCTTTTTTTTGTACCAGTGCAGTCGCTCCTTGCTAGACATGAGAAACGACACAGGATTTGGGCAATTCCATATCGACTTAACTTTGCAAATCAAGAGGCGTGTCCACATCTGACTCTGCAAAAGCTAACAGCTTTACTGCTACCCCCGTACTTTTAAGCCAAACCTATGCCCTTCAAGATGCAAGTAGAAGAGTCTGATTAGACTGGGAGTATAAGAAAACAATATTTAGTCAAATACGTTGGAAGGTAAAGCTGTGAAGGGGTTGGAGCTAATACAGCAAGAATGAATTATTAATGCACAGATATCATCGATGTGAATAATGCACCATTCTAAATTATCCCTGCAGTGGAAAACACTCCTCCCCAACTTCTCCTCCAAAAACTCTCTGTGAAATATGACGAGGCAGCTATACTTCACACACAGGTCATAAGTTCTTGAAACTAAATCCTCAAGTCTACGCTCTGACAATGCAGAGGTGCTGCAGTCTGACCAGAAATGTTTCAGGACATATGATGATTTGTAGGAGAAGCCAGATGAGCATCAACATTTGATAAATGAGTGTGAAGACGGACACGTTCTACATGAATGATTTAGGTGAAACAAGGGAAATAAGTGTAAGAATAAATCATTAATTCATGCACAAGATTTGCTGTGTGTGTGTGTGTGTGTGTGTGTGTGTATGTGTGTGTGTGTGTGTGTGTGTGTGTGTGTGTGCGTGTGCAAAAATAACAGTGAAGACTGCAGAAACCAATTTTGTCCGCACAAGTAAGCTGGAGGATAATGCTCTGTGTGTGTGAGTAATCAAATCTCGATTTGTGTCACTGGTCATTAGTCAAACGTTAGAGTGCGTTCAGCATTCAGACCGGCCCCATTTCTATGAGTGTGTGGCTATTAAAAGGAGATTACGAAGAATGTTTCACTCACAGCTTTGAGGTGAATGAAGCGGATTGACGAGATGACAGAGAAGACGTTTGAGAAGCAAACAAGAGGAGGTGGAAGTTAAATATTTAAAATGTTACATTGGCCTACTCTACTTTTAGTCTAATGTTGTTGACACACAACGTTAAAGAAGATCTGATCATTGAGAAAAAGTCAAAGACATGCTCATTCTCTACATAAATATTACAATATAAGCGTCAGTGTGTTAGAAGCCCAGGAGGCCTTGTCCCAGCAGCAGACTCACCTCACCTCACTATGATTATTCTTACCTTTTCTGTTTATTCTTTCTTACTTTGCCGCCCTGCCAGTGTTTGCAATATTCCTCTGTTTAAATCACCAATCGCTGAATTGTATCCACTCCAAAACTCACATGGGTGCTGTCATTGGCTGTCACACATCCACTTCCCACCCATAACCATACTGAGTCAGCCAAAACATCACAACACAGGCAGAGAACATGGTCTCTGCAGACACAGTCACCACCACACATGCTGACGCCCATAAGTTATAATTGAGCGACATTCATTTTGTGTTATAGTCTATATTTTATTTTTTAAGGAAAAAGCAACTAACTCTTCCTTTTATATTTCTTCCTGCCTGTTTTTGGATCCTCTCTACCTGCATGTATTTATACCAAACCTGATAGGCATCACATCAGCTAAATAGTGAAATACAGATTGCTTGTATTAATACTCACTTTTGTAAACAACAACAGACTCTGTTCAGCTTGTACAAGCAATGAGACTGGATTAGTATATGCATGTTAAAAGGCTACAGTATAAAACTCTGCTGTTGTGGTTTGTACATAATTCCATTACATAAAATATACTTAACATGTTTGGTAAATGTTGGTGTGCTAATGCTAACTGCTAGTCACCAAATTGCCTCAATTGAGTCGTAAAGACGGTTAACATCGCTCTTTGATCAACCATAAAAAGCACTGCTTGAAACTCAAAAAAATATGGAGCCATCACCGGGGGTAGTTTAGTTTGAATAAGCAGAAAGACTTGGAATAAGAGCAGACAGCTCACCTGGCTCTGCACAAAGACAATGAACATTGTGCACGTTTGAGTAAAACACATTCTGGTGTCT